TGGCCGCCTGTTCGTCTGACAATACTAGCACCTAAACCGTTCAAACAATTTTCTCCTAAATTGATATTCCCTGATCGATTTAATGAACTCACCATGCTATGCGAGTTTAAAACGGATAACTTAATTTTGGGCTGTACTTTGCATGAAGCCTTAACCTGTAAAAGTTTCTCAAAAATGGCATATTATAACACATTATTGTCGTCCTCGGATAACGTAAATGCCACTTTAAAAGATAACGCGTTTCATTTTCGTTAGTATCTAAATTTTCGCAATTTTTGCGTAATTTCTGCTTCAAGGTAATGCAATTTTTTCTTCAAAACGGCTGCAAGTTTTTCTTAGCTATTCTTTCACGAATAGAAGAAAAGACTCTTTAAAAATGGAGCAGGACGTTTTTATTGAAATCTCCGAATTTTTGAAAACTGCGGAACGTAGAAATGATGCGAGAATATTTGTGCTGGTGTAGCACCACTAGTTTCAATTTTTGAGAGGTCACGTTCTCCCTAGGCGGTCCGCCTGGGTATCCGCTCCAGAGCAGTGAGCAACGCCGGGGGAGAGGTTTCGTTGCAGTGACTGCTCCGCGTCAACCTCCCGGAGACGAAAGGCAGGGCGGCCGTGGACGAAGTCGAACGCGATCAGATCGCCATTACAGAGGCGCCATCGGGAATCCATTTCCCAAACCGCCGTTTGATGGAGCGGCAGCACCGGCGGCTAACACGCAAACGATGGGCAGCGGCGCCTCGCTCTCCCAGCCTCCAACCCACGCCCCCCCCCCGACCCATTGCGGTCGCATCCGCTTGCTCCACATACTTGACCCACAGACAGCGGTGGATCCTGGGGGAACTCAGGGTCCATGCCCCCCCTCCCCTGCCAAAGCCATCATTTTTCTTCTTAGTGGTGAGAAAGTATTGTAATGCGGCAAAAACGGCGATTCGTCGACAAAAGCTCGTATTGTGTGCACCGAAATGTGGAGCATTTAGGTTTCCGTATGTAGTAAATTGCTTTTTTTATCAACTTGTATATTGAGAATGCACGATCTGTGGGTTCTTGATACCGAAAACGGGGCTAACGGCGAAACGTCCTTCTGTCTGTCCGTCGGTCGATCTGTCTGCCTGTTGAGACAGCCTGAGCCGTTCAAACGATTTTCTCCCAAAACATTTATTCTCCTTTCAATCTGGCCGGAGTCGAGTACCTGCGAATTTGAAAGTGATATTTTCATTTTTTGTGGATACTTTACTTGATTCCTTACACTTTTTCCGGAAATGATACCATATTTTAATTATTTTTTTTTTTTCGGATAAAGCAACGTCTAAACTTAGCGCAGTTCCGATTTCCGTTCATCTCCTTGAAGAGACAAGAGTCTTTTCTGAAATAGCAAAAGTTCAAGCATTTTTCATCATGTTCCTACAACTACAATGTTGATTATACAGAGTGTGTTCTTAATTAAATAGTCTTTTGTCTTAATATTGTCTTTTCCGAAACATTGTTTCGAATGACGAAAAACTTTCTGTGATTTAATCATTGTTAGAACTGTCAATCAGGAGTCAATGGATTGCTTTACATAAAGTGTACTATTACTAGTTTAAATAAAAATGTTGTTAAAGACGCTGTCAAAATGAACTGTTGTTTCAATGCCAAAATCTTATAGTCAGCAGGTTCCACTTCTTTGTGACGAGTACCAAACCCATTTCTTGCATACGCAACTAAGGAGATTTATGTCTCCCTTTTCCAGGGATGATTATCACAATTCGTCGTCTGGCGTAGGTTGATTGATCAATGATTGTGGATGTGAAGATGCTTCAGATGGAGCATATCGTGATATGAGAAGTCGTTTACACTAGTAAAGTACTTGGTGAAACACCCATCCCTTACGCAGGAACTGAACCCTTAGCCTTCTGCTGCGTCTACTTGGGCGCCGGGCCCATCTGTGAAGCCAGCTCTACTTCTTTATCGTTTTTTAAATAATCTGCATAGGACAACTTTAGTTGTAGTAGTATAACGAGTTATATTACACACTAGGGTCTCTCTCGCATCCCAGCCTCCACATCTCTATCGGTGTAGTTTTCATTACTCAGTCCTCTCTTCACCATTGCCTTATCCACTCCCTCGCATCATATAAGTCATCGTATTCGATGGATAGCTGGTTGCCAGTTCCACAATATTTTCTGAAAACGTTCTTCGCTCTTCCTTTGCATGTGCCAATACCATTTTAGTCTTTTCATTTCTATGGTGCCAGTTACATTAAAACTTATTTCCGCTTTACATTTGATTTCGTAGTTCTTATCTTTATCCCTTAAGGTCAGTCGGCAATTGCGGCGCCAGAACTCTATTTCCATAACTTTCAATTTCTTTGAGATCTTTTTTGTTACTTTCCATACCACAGATATTCATACCTCAGAAAGGGCAATATTTTCTACAACAGTTTTATACAATTTTCTTTTTACGCTCTTACTTAATTTATCTTGCCATATCAGTGGATGAAATTGAAATTTTATAGACACTCTTACCATTTGTAATTCTGTTTCTAATCTTGCGTACTGCTACCATTTGCATTTATTTCTGTACAGAAGTATATCGATTTTTGACAGGGATTTCTTTTATATATGGGTTACATTATATACAGGGATTATATACAGAGGTAAATGGATTTTTGACAGGGACAGGGACAGGGACTTCCTTATTCAGGACAACTAGGAAACGCTTTTTCCTTCCCTGCAGACTACACAGTAGCATACCATTTCACCTGGCACAACCTCAACACCTCATTCTCTTGATCTCCTCTCTTAGGATTTGCGTGGGCTCTCTGAAGTCACGTTACATTTCCCGCGTTCCTGGAATCAGCTGCGGCCCGCGCTGATGTCGTTTTTCTTCGGAGTCGGCATGGCAACGTTGAAAGATATTCCTGGTGCAGGTCTCCCTCTCGACCGGTCTCCCTCCTTCATATGTCGTCGTATATTCCGCCTAAGAGAGCGGTTAATGTTTCTTGTCGGAAGTATTTTCGGTGTCATTTTTTCGACATCTGTACTGCGGACATTTGAGACGCGACTGTGTTTTTGTGGGGAGCGTGGCACCAGTTTTCCGTTTCATCGAACTTTACGGCTTTGTAAAACAGATGTTACGGATACTTAATCACAAAGGAGGCTCGGTGTTTTTGTTCTGAGCAATTTGTGTTAGGTTTTGTAAATATATTGCTCTGATTCTGAGATGTCTGTCTCTCATTCGTGCCTGTGGTTGTGAAAGACTATGGTCTCAAGGAATTAGCTTAGTGGGTACTAGAGATAAAAAAGTTATATTTTTATTACACATCTTTGGTGAAAGGGTGTGTAACATACGTGTATTTCAAGAATATTACAACTTGTAGTCGTTTATCCTAAAAATTGCGAGATTGACAGTCCTTTTAAAAGTAGCATTCCAGCTTCGAGTCTAGCGGTTTTCCTTTCTTCGAGGGGAAGAAAATCATTGTCATGAACTTGCTCGTTCAAAATTGTATGATAACAATATTTCTCTGAGTATGAACAAAACATTGTTCAATATTCATCTTTGTTTTTTTCTAATGTTAAGGCTTTCAGAATGTCCCCGAAATACTACTAGTTCGTTCCTCCGAAATCCTGATTAGTCTGAGATATTGAAGATGAAAATTCAATGTCTGATGAATTGAGGATACGAATGAACGAAAATGTCAACATTGCCATGACCTTGCTACTGAATATGTTAATTTATTGTTTCGTTCCATAAATGCATTCAATAGACCAAACATGTATTGAGGAATTAGTTATGTTTCCAGTGTGGTGTGAAAACGGTTGAACTCCTCCTACCCATACGAAAGGAATGAGCGAATCATGAAATGCAAACATCGCGATTAAAAATAGAAAACTGTATTCTGGTTATCTCATAACTTGTGCCTCTATGAAAACATCATTTCTGTCCAGGAATATTTTACGATGACTATCTTCCTCCTAATGATACGAAAACCTCGCATACCACTTCTAACAATTTACGACTAGCAACACAACATAAACATGTTCTAAAAGAACGCGTACTAAAAAGATTCCATAACTCAAATGGTAAAAAAAAATGAATTCATACATTTGCAGTGGATTTTGATTCACAAAATTGTAGTTTTAATTTAATTATCTATTATGTATACTTCTCAGACTTCCACATTTCTTACTCTATGAAAGTTTAATTACACATTGTAGCTGACTGGATACCGACTTTTAACGTTAACTCCGCATCGCATGCTAAAAATCCCTTAAGAGGGAAATTTTTTAAAGTAATATAGTCTAGCCTGGAGTACATATGAAAATGGGAAGGATTGAATATCAATTAAACCCAGAAGCACTCAAGCTATCAGAACTTCCCCAGGATCCTAGGTTGATAGGCTATATATATATATAATATATATATGATTATATTTAGTATATTATAGCTTAATCTATAGGTTTAATATACATACATGGTTAAACAATACCGAAAATCTTAAAATATTGTAATATGACAGAAATATTTACCTCTGCAATGAAAGATCTCTGTAATAGATACACAGGTCGTGAGAGATGTCCGCTTTAGAGAGGTCCCGACAAAACAGAAGTTTTTGCCCCGAAACTCGAAAATTCTTCGCAGTGAAGAGATATATCGTTCATGAGAGATATTCGTTCAGAGATGTTTGATTTTGGAAGAGAAAAAATTACCATCCGAAGAGGGACTCATACATGCTCGAGACACATGACAGTTTCGCTTGCCCCTGTTTCAGCTGTCTCATATTTAATAGTAACCCAGAGACACTCAGCATTCCCATTTCGACTTTACATCTGCCCTTGTCTCACTCGACATCGGTCTGACTGTGCCCTCTTTATTCCCAATCCGTGCGGTTCTCGCATTTGATCGTGCGAAAGCATGGTCACTTTTAAATACATACCTACCCTGTACAGGAATATAATCGAAAGAGAATTCCGTGCCCAGATCTTTGAGGTAGGTCAAACATTTAAAAAATCACTCAGATTCGTAAGATAATCAGGAGTAAACTAATATAATAATATAAAGATTTTATGATGATTTTATTCGTGGGGCTGTGGCCACAGATGCTCCTGTTTGTTCCAGACGTATAAAGCAGAACAGGTCAATCTGGTAATCATCCCCAGCGTGTATTTGTTCGTAAATGGCAACGTTCTGATAGCAACTTCGAACGAAGGATTACATTTGCCGAGGACTGTTAGTGAATTGGTGAATGTTTCATGTCTCCGGCGTTTCGTCAAGACTAAGTCAACAAGAATTTTGGAACCGACAAAGTTCCTTCAGAAGATTTCTTTCAAAATCACATAGCAAACGATGTCTCACATTACTTAGACAATTGCAAAACAAAAATGAAGGATTTTTCAACTCTACAATCAGTAAAGCCGTGGTTTTCAACAAAAAACTTACATATACTGCACAAATCAACAACAACAACAGCAGCAGTAACAACACCGTACACTTCCAGATTCACGAGTACAAACATGAATACAGGGTTTATCAGGATATTTCTGTGGATGGAAGGAAGCGGTGTATTGTTCAGCCGAGTGGACATTTTCTTATAAATATGTTTTCATTTGTGCTGAATTTAAAATTTACTTTTATTTGTTCATTTATATTTATATTTTATTCAATTCAGCTCTGCAATGACTTTCGTTGCTTGTAAACGTATTTGTGAATATCGGTTTCGGAGAGAGAAAGCTCAACCTCCATGAGCTTCCCCTCTCCTTTGGAGTGCCAATGCACAAGAAGCTTTTATAAATTTAGCTCTCCTGTGATTTTTTTTATAAATTGTTTAATGATCTTGTGTTTTCGGGCGCGAGAACTGTCATGGTCAACAGTCCTGTAAGCATTTTTAGCACAGGGTGTGACGGTGTTCCTCCCTGCTAGATAATGAGATCCGACGCCGACCTACACGTCGAGTTTCGGCGATTTCTCACTAACCTACAGTTGCGAGGGACTCTCACTAGCGGAACACCGCCCCAGCCGGCTCTAAGCCTAAACCCCCGACATGTGTGATGGTGTAATGCATGGGAGTGTGGGTTGGCGAGAAAGTAAAAGCAAACTGATAGTGGAAAAATTGGTTGATTACTGATTCCGGTTGCTTTAACGGCTAATTTCATTATTCCCGTAAGTGTAGGGTATGTTTTCTTTGTATGAGAAGACGCTAATCTCCTCCTCCAATGGATGGTGATATCCGGCCCTGAACTATCTCATTTTGCGAGGATTTTCCCCAACCAGGTATCTCCCACTGGCACGGCACCGCCCCAGCGTGGACAAACTAAGCTCCCAATCGTTCTCTAGACAAATATGGTAGTGTAGTGCATATAAGTATAAGTGTAAGTAAGGTGTGAGGATAAGACAAAGAAGAGGAAAGAAAGATCGCGAAAAGATCGGTCCGTGGCCCGTTTGTTAGGATACTGCTCTGGCATTCGCCTGATGTTGGTCGGAGGAACCAGAGAAAACTAGCAATGAAAGTAGCCGGCCGCTAGAATCCTCTCAGAGACAACGGCTGAATTTGACCTAGTAGCTATCAAGCAAGTGTCGAAAATCCTGTCATTGTCGGGACTCAAACCCAAGGACCTCCCAGCCAGAGACACTGCAGTCACACCATTTAAAGCCCTGAACTACCTTAGGCTTAGGGTTTTCATAAACTTTCTTATCATTTGTTCGAAAATGTTTTGGTCGGACGTCACAGGGGGCGTGGCTATTCTGCGACGGGGTTCACGGCGCCACAGACGGTGACGACGACGTCACCGCCAGGCAAAAACCTGGGAGGAGGGGACTGAGCCGAGCGGCCTGGCGCCGCCCGCTCGTCGACTATCAGACG